TCAGTCATTTGTTAATTCTGAAGCATTGGAAGTTACTGCCCTACAAAATTTATTACCATACTGCAATTCTTGAGGGAATAGAAATGAAAAGAATATTCTCCTACTGCGTACTGATGTCCTCTTTGCTTTTTAGTTTGCTTGCCTCTTTTATCAGAAGAACTTTCAGTGAATTACTTTCACAAGCCTTCTGATGAGAATCCGTAGGAAGGTTTTGAGGTGGAAAGAGAGGAGGGGAGAAAGGAGTGATCTCTCACTTGCTTTAAAAGGTGATGGTGTGGTTTTGTTTGAAGCCGATGGAACAACTTTGATATTTAAGAGGCGTGCTTATTTGTATTGTGGCGTTCTTGGATTCAAAGATTAATTTAAGCAAAGTGAGCTCTTGCTTGTGAGAGAGGGCAGTTCCTGCAATTGATCTTGGGTGTAGTGTGGAGTCCCTCTTCTTAAATCAAACTCCTTTTGGGATATTCTAGCAATGCGAAAGTGATGTGGATGAAGTTATTTAAATAGTGGAAAGAATCTTAAGTGCGTGAAGAGATTACCTTTCTTGAGGAGGGAAAGTGACTTCGATACGGGCATTATTGAGTCTATCAACTGACTTCGATATGGGCATTATTGAGTCTATCAACTTACTTTCTGTCCCTTTTCAATTACAGTTCCTATTATATTGAGATTGTATGAAAAACAAAGAGATTTTCTTTGGGGTGGAATCGGTGATGACTTTAAGTTTTATTTTTGTGTATTAAATCTATTTGAATGTGCAAGTAAGTTGGAGGTTTGAGACAAGACCTTTAAAATGTCAATGAATCAAGTCCTTTTGGATAGATGGTTATGGAGATTTGTGATTGAGAAACTTTTTTATGGAAAAATATTTTAGGATGGAGATGCTGCTTAGATAGTGGAAAGTGGTGGACCAAACATGCTAGAGGGAGTCTTGGGATTGACCCTTGGAAAGCAATTATGACTAGGAAACTGTCTTTTCTAAAAAAAATGTTAGATTTAAAAGTTGTAAATGAGGAGCCACTAAAGTTTTGGAAGGATATAAATAAAAAATTATTATTTATATAGGTGTATCCATGCCTAACCCGTGTCCTACTTTTTTAGTTTTTTAGGATTTGACTTGTCGACGTATCCATTTCGTATCGTGTTTGTATCCCGTGTCCATGTCTATGCTAGTTAAAGTGGAACTTACTTTTATGAGTATGAGATTTTGAAACAAAATAAATGGCTGAGAAATGCAATCTTCAATCTTGTTTTGTTGGATCATATATGTTAGTTTTAATTGGAGTTGGAGTCGATAGGAGGCATCTTCTCGGTAGCTGGCTACTTTACATGGCCAATCATTTCTTCAAAATCAAATGTAATTGAAAAACCGTTCATGTTTAGGCATCAATTATAATTTGGAGTTCTGATTGCTTAGAGTCATTGTCTGGATGACAATCCAAGTACTTCAAATAATATGACTTGGTCTAATGCTGGATGTGATCTTCTTTTCTTGCTGATACTAGGGTGTGTGCCTCAAGTGCACATGGTCTCTGCCTTATTTTCTTTGTAACTCTATCTTAAATACTATTCTTCTTTTTTTCTCTCTCTCATTTTTTTTTTTTTCAAAAAAAATGATATGGCCCAAAGACCAGGTTTGTTAGTAGTAACAATACATGAGCCAAAGTCCCAGCCCAACCCAAGCTAGAACAATCCTAGATACCTTTTTAAACATCATTACCATTGGTTTACATCACCAAATTCAGTCCGGAGATCGTGGAGGTGGTTGAATTACAGAAGCTGGTAGCTCCCATTCAGAGATAATGTGACAAGCAATTTTGGAGTCCCGGAAAGAACAGGACATCAACTTTATTCTAACTTATGTACATCGGATGCAATTTCCAACACCTGTTTCTGTTGTATAAAAAATAATATAATGTAAGAGTGCATTAATTTCGTGACTTGTTATTCTGTTGGGAAGGTTTTTTTTTTTTTTTTTTCACTGAATGAATTTCACTTCCACAATACTCATCTTGGTGGGCTTTATGAAGTTAAAATTCTGTTGAACAGGATGAAGAATGTACAGGAAGGAGATTTATCCCCAAACAATTAAGAAATAAAAATACAAGAATGCTTACCTAGGGGTGTGACAAGCCAAAATAACTCTGCTGTGCTCTCCTCTTAGGTAAATAATTTTGGAACAAAGTTCAGGATATGCAATCTTGACACATAATCGTGAACTTTAAGACATATAGAGATGAAAGAATAATTGGCTCATATAGTTTCCCTAATCACTTGCTTTAATCTTGTTGTTGCTTTTTCGAGTATCTTGGGGTGATTTCTTCTGTAAACTTTTTATTATGTTTTCAAGCATTACTAGCTGAACTTTTGTATCCTACAACCCTACTGGAACACATCATTTTTAGATTTGTTGCAGTTGACACAAAATTTATTATTCCTGCCTTGTATTGGATTTATTAGGAGATAAATACTATTATATACAATCTATTTTCTTGTTTTTAAATGGCCGGTCCTTGATTTGAATAAATACTTTTTTTCCATGTTCAGACATCTGGAGACACTTGAATTTGTCATCTTTGGTCTAGAAATGATTTGATTTTTGTTAGTCTACAATAAAATGAATGTATGTTTATCTGATTTTTTGCAACCTACCTTTAAGATAATTGACTAAAACTAAAAAGAATCATATTTTTCAGGACAACTCTGGGTTTTTGGGCGGGTCACAGGAACTCTAAAATTAGAGTTATACTGGCACGTGTATGGGAGAATGACACAGAACTTGATATTTCGAACAACAGAATAAACAGGGCTACTGGACATCTGGTATATCAGAAGAAATTTTACAGGACTAAGTTCTGCATATGCCCTGGGGGTTCCCAGGTCAATAGTGCCCGCATTACAGATTCGATCCATTATGGATGTATTCCTGGTAAGATTTCAATGTTTCATGGCATTTGGCATTATATATGAAATGGTTTTTGCTGCCATTTTCTCTCCTTAGTCCTTGCTTGCATGGTACAAATGGGTTGTGAAACACAACCCGGCTGACTACTAAGAGGCCATTACCTAGTGTCTGTCCTTGTTAGTTGAGGGTGCTGGATTGGGTACTGATCCCCTTTGGTATGGCTGGCAGAAGTGGTTGCCCTTGGACTAGAGCCTGCTTTTTGATGCCTGACAGTCTGTGCTTTGACCAATGCTCCAGCATTGGCGATTGGTAAAAGCCTAATCGATCTCTGCACTAGCAGATATTAATTAACACAAAAGGCACAAACACAATAAGACGTATTTTAATCTTCCTTGACCATGGAGATAATTAGAAGATTTCCCTTGTTGAGAAAGGGTAATTTGCAATGTCTTTTTATTTCCTCTCTTGTCAAAATTTTGGTTTGATGGTTTCAATAACCCTAATGCAACTCGCACTACCTTAAAATCCCACCCAATCACTTGAGGAATGTTAGCCTGGTAAGAGGAGTTTATAGATATTTTCAAGGACATATTTAGTGACTTCAGAAGGTAGGGCATGTGCCCCCAACCTTAGCCAAGTATGCTAATCCTAGTAGTTGTCAAATGAGAGAGTGGCTGCTGAGCTGGTTAGCCACTATTTGATGCATATTTTGAAATGCTTAGGGAAATCAGTTATTGAATGATTTTGTTACAATAGATAAAGGAATTGCACCCTGTGATTGCATCATATTAGCTTCCCAGCATGATTCAAAGCATACGGATGTTTGGGGAAATTATAAATTGGTCAATTTCTTTTCCATAAACACTTGATGTAGCCCCTCAAATTTTCTATCCGGTGTTAATGAGACACCCTTTATGATTTTGCGGGAATTATTTTCAGTACCTTCAAGTTCAGACATTCATGATGTTCAATTAAGCCAACCTGCTGTGGTTGGAGATTTTGAGTACTATTCAGATATAGTAGTCACTATAATGAAAACTTCCACCAGGGAAGGGGGAGGGGTTAATGTTAGAAACATGATGAATATTTGCAAGTATCTCTGCAGAACTAGGAGGTTTTTCTTAATTATTAGCCTTTAGGAAATGTTACAAAACTACAATGCTATTTCAATTCACACTGAGGAATATATTTATCCTTTCCTGGGGTGTGATTTCTCCATGTTATTGTTGTCTTTTTGTTAGTCTAATTAATTTTGGGTGTTTTATTTGCAGTAATTCTGTCTAATTATTATGATCTGCCATTCAATGATATTCTTAATTGGGGGAAATTCTCGGTCATACTCAAGGAGACTGATGTTTACCGGCTAAAGCAAATTCTCAAGGACATACCTGATGCAGAATTTGTTGCTTTGCACAACAATTTAGTTAAGGTATAAATCTTTGCGTCACAGCTTGAGAATTACATATAATTAGATCTATGATCAGTTTCGGTGTTTGAATCGAGAAAGAAGCTTCTACTTTCAAGTTGAAAAAACTGTTGTCTATTTTAGAATGGCGACTATGTTTTTATGGTCGATAGGATATAGGATGAAAGAATGTAAATGGCTTATACAAGTGCTCTCTTTTTCTTTTTTTTTTGAACAGTTCTTCCATTGCATTGTCATCTAGGTGAAACAAGGATTTGCGGTTACTGATGAGAATTCTGTTGTGGCATGTTTTATCAGGTCCAGAAACACTTCCAGTGGAATTCACCTCCAATCAGGTATGATGCTTTCCACATGGTCATGTATGACCTCTGGTTGCGCCACCATGTGATCAAGTACTGACTGCAAATGAGTATAAATCCTTGTTACCTTTGATACATGTTCCTGGCAATTTGGAATTTTGTAAATTATCTCCTATAGTTTTTTTTCTTTCTTCTTTCTGTGTATGATTAACAGGATACTTAAGCTATTCGTATTCATTTATTGATCATGTACCTGGTTTGTTTTTGTACCCATCTCTGAGCTTTGATATCTTGTTTCCTATATGAGGGAAGAAATTTTCTTGTAATTATTTACCACCCCTTATTTGTATTTGACAGTGCAATTTTTACATAAACAAAAAGAAAAGCGCAACCTCTTACATAGCTTAAGATCTAGCATTTCTTGTGTACATTCTGAACTCTAATTTCGTCTCAAATCCATTTGAGATCTAGAACGATTTTTTACTTAGCTATGAGATCTAGAGTCATACTGTTCACATCATGGGCACTACGGATGCTACTTAACTCTGATTCCCTCTCAACTCCTATTTCATCTGTCCTAGCAGAGTTCATCTCCAAATTCGGGGACCCCGTTACTTAGCTATGAGATCTAGAGTCATAATGTTCACATACGAACAGTAGCACCCACCTCAATCTCATGGGTGCTACGGATGCTACTTAACTCTGATTCCCTCTCAACTCCTATTTCATCGGTCCTAGCAGAGTTCATCTCCAAATTTGGGGACCCCGTAGCAGGTGTTTCTGTTTTCAATGTCAAGTAGGCCAACATTGCAACATAAAGCATCATTATTGGAAAAACAAGAACCCCAATCAGGATCGATGCAGCCTTGGACCTCTGGTTATTGGTCATCCATCCCACCACTGTCGTACTTAAGAAATATAGGTTGATCCCAATCGAACAGATCCCCAAGAGCCATGAGACTATAGTCACCTGTAAGTTGTAGAATTATAAACATCATTTAACAGATATATAATAGAGCAATGGAGAGAATTTCATAGAGAAATCTACTGGTAATCTTTTCCTAGTATTTTAGCTCTGCAAGCAGAAATATAGTCAAAAAAAATTCTAATATGGATGTCACTGTTTCGTTTTTGTGGATTCATGCTGATTCCTGAGAAAGATATGTGGTAGGTGTGTATACAACCCTGGGTGAAATGTAAGTTTTGACAATGTCACTATACTGATGACTTTTGACAAAAACGTAGATGTAGTTGCAACAATTATCACATTTTGGATTCTGTAATTTGCATTCTACTTTGTCAAGCGTTTCGTAGAAGGTATTTTAGAGCAAAGAAGCTCACCGATATAGAGTTCTTGTGGGGACCCATTTTGGCTTCACTGCTTGTAAACCTGAGGAGAGGAACCATTGCAAATGGTAGCTCAAATGACAAGATCATCTGAACCCAAAAAGCGCAAGATGATTAACAGTTAGATTCTTTTGCACATTGCTTTATAATTCAAAAAGAAATCAAATTCTTATTGACATGACATTACAGAAGCAATGATGACAAGCTTTGAGGCTTCCGATGATCCACCGATAATGCAGGTTACTAAGCTTGGAGCAATGGCAATGCACCTAGTAAGTAAATTTCTGACCCAAAGCTTCATTTTCAGATCTAGAAAACCCTGCAAACATAGCAAATGCTTCAGAAATCTCTCTCTCTCTCTCTCTCTCTCTCTCGTGTGTGTGTGTGTGTGTGGATTCATGTACCAAATAGCACCTCCATTATGTACTGGCCAGCATAAGTCCCGGTAACAGTTGAACTCTGACCGGATGCAAGCAAAGATATGGCATAGAGCTTTGAACTCCAGTTTCCGAGAGCATTCTGCATCAATGCAATGGTAAGTTATGATAAGTTAATGGAAATATTTGATGCTGATTGATTTTGCTCCATTATTTGATTGCTGAATATCTGTACAGAGATAGAACTTGTGATACATAGGGCTCATATCATCCCCTGTATATGTTCTCAGCTGTGTGCAGAGTATGCATGATGGTTTTAAAATGTTTATAATCGAGGAGGGAGAATATGACCTTAAGCAAGAAAGCGGCTGAGTCGAGAGTGATACTCTTACAGTGAGCCTTGGCTTGTGGGGAGAGATTTGGATTCGAGCACACACTACCAGTGACAGATACCACCGACACATTGATGAGGAATGCGATGAACAATGCTATCCCGCTTTCTATGAAGAAATACTTGCATGCACTCTGTCATATATATATATATATAGAGAGAGAGAGAGAGAGAGAGATGGTTATTGAATCTCTAGTGTCATTACAGAGGTGGATAATCAATGGAGGATAGGTACTGACCTTTATGCCATCATGGGTTTGAGGGATTTTTCTGGAGAAGACTAATGCTGAATGAAGAAAGAGGTTATGCCTGCAGTGTGATATGGTTTACACTGATTAATCCTGATGAAAACCATTTTCACTATTAAAAGAGAGAGGTTCTATTCTTCGAGGCATAAACAGAAACCTCTTACTTGTTCGGTTTTGACCAATTTTAAACTTGATTTTCGGTTTAGAACCAGGGATAATAACTAGAGGGGTACTACAGTTAATGATCTTGTGCACATTTTTGTTGTAAAAAAACATCAATCCCATCTCATCTAATCGATGAAGAACGATGGTGACTAACACAATTGTCTTATGAATTGTAAGAAGTAGCGTATAAGTGATGAGTATTTACGGCATGATAAGAGCTCCTATAAGAGCTATTGCATCTCCGGTGGCCCTTTTGCCGGTCAATTTGGGAAGGAACATTCCGGTAAAGATCTCCTCTGCATTAGGACTGGCCTGTACCATCACACTGCAGAAGCAGCCACCCACAATCAATACCAGAGTAGCTATTGCAACCTCCAGCTTCCTTATCTACACAATCATACAAGTTAAAAATGCGGTAAATAATTAATAGCATGAACTGAGAGTGTGTAACTTGGAAAGAATGCACATTTAACATTTTTGCGGGTGCATAATTGTAATAGAGGAGCTACTCACACCGTATCGTTGCACTCCAAGGAGGAAGAGAGTACTCAATCCAGTGAGGAGCACCCCACACCATATGGGTATCTTGAAGAGCATGTTGAGAGCAAAAGATGTGCCTATCACTGTAATAAACATGATGGTAAGAAATCAAAAGAATGAAGGGATCAAGATCATCTCCTATGCCTAGTATTTAATCCGAAAATGCAATGGTCACGCAATAATTTTAAATCAACAACGTAATAACTACGAATAAATGTTGAGTTTTCGATTTAATGATGTTGTACTGCTACAACATGAGTATTATACCGTTATTGCATTTGTGATGTTGCATGGTGCATCGGTGGGCCACAGTGTTGGTTGAAACCCACTTGAATAAAATTACTTTAATCTACGAAACGAAGATGGGTCAACATAGGCAATTCATAATGGGCTTGGACACACATGTTATATTCACAAAGGCCCAAGATCTTGCAACATTGTGTTTTTTTATTATTTTTTTATTTTATTTTTTTCATGACAAGAATGTTAGGAGTTTGTTGTTACAAGAGAGTGAAAGGGTGCAAGGTTTGAACACGGGCAACCAAATGCGGGAAACAACCCAATCACTCGGATGGTGCTTGCAAGATCTTGCAACATTACAAATGAAATTATTGTGTGATCTAAACTCATCACTCAACCCAATTTTGATTACATCTTTACGTATATTTTTACCTTCATTTATTTTGTACTTGACCATTCAAAGTTCTTCGATTACCGACACAAGAAAAAACCTAGGAAAAGAAGGGATGGCAATTGATTATTTACCACAAGTTTTAGAATATCTCACGGGCACATATCCCAATCATTACCCGCCGTTGGATGTAATGGTGGGGTTAATCCAACGGCTAGTAGATATTGGGGGTATATTCCCAAGGTATTCTAAAATTTACCGATTACTTACAAATGCCCCTATAGTTTGGCTACTTATTGGATCCCCCTTGCATCTCCGCTGTTACTGGATAGACTTTAGAGCTCAATAACCCTAAAATCAATCTCGGTCTTTGTAGTTACTCCAATTAATAGAATTCAACGTGACCTCTGTCAGCTTTAATAAAATAAAAAAAATAAAAAATAAAAAGTTAAATAAATAAAAACCTTTAAATAAATATTTATTTCAATCATTACAAATCAAATCGATTGTGTAGTTAGATAAAAATAGTAAATTATATTACTTTCGTCTCAAAAAAAGTATCGTGTTTCGAGAACCGTGACAGTTCAATTTGTAAGAGTCAAAGTTTCCTAAAAGTGACACTTTTTATGAAACGGAGGAAGTATCATTTTCGCATCAATCTAAGCTAGCATATGTAGAGAGTAACCTTCTGGGATGTCTGCAGCTATCACCGCAATCTCAGCAAGTATCCAGAGGCAGTAATTTATCGGGTACGGGTACTCGGTCCTGCAGTGCTCCGAGAGGTGCTTCCCTGTGTGTGTTTCATGTAGAAAAACACAAAAATGATTTTCAGTTCAGACACTAGTAAGTAGGAGTGAAAAAAACAGTATTTATTTCAATTTAGACACTAATAATTAATTACATAAAACACAGTATATCAAAACTGCATGAACTTGTGTGCTAGGTCATCCCAATTTAGCTTTGGACTTTGTCTGATTGAAGCTTGCCGATTATAGTGTTCAAGCATGAATAATACATGAAAGCATGAGCCCCTTGATTCTGCTAACTACCATCTTCTCTAAAAGGTTAAACCCTTAAAAGAGTATAACTTTAATATTTAAAATCTCAGCTCCGTTTTTTTTTTCAACTATATATTTTTCTTTCTAAGTTCAAGCAAACGCAAGCACATCTACAATATTACCGGTTAGAACTGTACCAGACGCTTACTCTACGTGCATAAAACAGTAAAAAAAAAAACCTTGCATGTATATAGTTTTCACAAGACACTGAGAAAGGTATAACCTGTAGCTACTCCAAGATTTGCAGAACGAGATTGGATTATAAGTGCGAAGATCAGCCCAACAAGCACAATCCACAGCAACTGTTAGACATAAATAACCATCAGAGATAGACATATAAATGCCCATGACACACACAGTCACACACACAGACCTCATATTTATGGTCAGCCCCAGCTTGTAAATCTGTCACCACTGCACACACACCAAAAAAAAAAAAAAAAAAAAAAAAAAAAAAAAACAAACAAACAAAGTTGAAACAAAAAAGATCAGCATAGAAGCTAAGTGTGAGTATGTGTGTGTAGAGAGAGAGATTCTTTACAGTTTCCGGGATCGAGATAGGCGACCGAGACCAAAAAACCAGGTCCTACGTAGCTCAACAGCTTCTTCCACCTAGGGATCTCCTGTATCTGCACCAAAGCCATGTCTATGCTTAGCTCTTCCTAACTAATAACTCACTGACTCTCTTAGATCAAGTGCTATCTTATTTTTTTATAGAGCCACACATTGAGCGAGGACTTGCACGTACGTAGTACACTGAGTGTACCCCTCTATGTCCGAACTTTCAAAATCGAACATTAATTGAAGGTAGTTAGTTGTTGTTATGTTTTATACTTCTATATATATATAGACCCCCAATATTCAGTAGATTTTTTTTTTTTAAACATTTGATTCATGTTCCATTATCTTTTTGTCTACTGAAAATATCAATTCATTTTTTTCTGGCTGGAATTGGATTTTAATATATATGATTATTCTTCATCTGATTGGTAATAACTAAATAATTTTTTAAACTACTACGTTTTAATTATTTTTCAGCTCTAGTTGGTTGCTAGTTCCTTTACGTGTACTTTTCCTTGCTTCATTGGCGCGTATACTCTTGGATTGTGAGTGGGTTTTAAGTTTGTTTTTAGTGCATGCAGTATTTTTTTTTTTTTTTAAAGAAAGTTCAACCGAACACGCAGAACCCACAGTAAAAAATATTACTCTTGACAAGACTCTAACTCTAAATCTTCTCTTTGGAGAGTAGTAATCATTTTTTTTTTAAGAGTAGAGGTCTAAGTCACAGAATTCTTCTAAACGGGTGCCGCCCTTACGCTCCGTGCCACTCCCGTTCTTATGCTTCGCGCCACTCTCGTTCTTGTGCTCCGTGCACGCTTTTGTCCCGTTCTCATTCTGTATGATTTAAATTTTGCCTCTTTCGCGCTCTCACTCTTGCACTCGCTCATGTTCCCACACCCGTTTTATGTAACTTAGGTAGACTATTGGTTGCCTCAAGACATTTTTGGTGAGTGATTTTGGAATTTTTTTTTATATATATCAATTTTTGTAAATTTGCAACTTGGGAGACCATGGCCTTGACTAAGAATAAATCATGCAATATTCAGCACGCACATAATCGTTTCTTTTAGGAAACAGTTTTGTTAATTACATTGCTCTCTGAGATTAGCGATCTATGTACTTTTTGTAAGCAAAATACATATTCCTATAACAAAAAATTTATCGATGAGTGCCACACAATTATAAGCTTCAAGTATACAAGAAAATGGATGTTATTTCATCTTTTATGGCGTTATGTGATATTTAGATCGTTTATACAATAATTTTACGTAACTTATGCAACAAAAATAATGTACCGTGTTATATTATAATGCAGTGTGTTACAGTGACAATCTAAACTAGTACCAGATCCCTTCCCTCCAGATTATGCTTATAACTAATCTTTCGTTGCAAACTTACAAAACTCTATTATTGGGAAAAAGATTTATAAGATGATACGTTTGTTTATAGATGGATGATGGATAACGATTTGAACTCTCTGAACCAACTCACAAACCCCTTGTCGAATCGGACAGTTGTGGTGGGCTCACTTAGGGCTTGTGAGGGTTTGGAGTTTGAATTTGGACTCTCATTTTCCTTGTTTACATATATAATGTGTTTGGAACATATCTTAATTACATTCTTTGTTTTATGTGTATATTTATAGGTTTGCATTTATTTATGTGTGCCATAAATAATTATAGTAATTAGTTGGAGATTTTTTATGCATGAAGATAATGTCACATGTATCTGAAAAATAATAATGGTTACTTATATTACTTGAGATATTGATGGTTCTAAATAATAATGGTTACTTATATTACTTGAGATATTGATGGTTCGGGGGGGGGGGGGGGGGGGGGGGCCACCAAGAATAGAAATATTTTTTTTAGTATATGCTCAATACAGCTTTGAAAAAAAATAGCAAAGGTAATTTTATGTTTGGCCCCCCCACGGTCCCATCCAAAAAAAGAAAAAAGTTGACTTAACAAATATAATATACATATATGATATATATATATATATATATATATATATATATATTATATATAAGATGTTGATGATTGATGTAGCATCGGGAATCAAATAATAAGTATCATTTTTATATTTTTATAACGGAAAGATAAAAGTAAAACATCTTTTTACTTTTCCAAAATAAATACAAAGAGTGAAACAGAGAGACCACGAAAAGTAGAGAACAAGAGGAGAAAAAAAAAAAAAAAAAGGCACCGGCAAGTTTGCAACTCATCTTGAATCTTTGATCCATCAATGATTTATCCATAGATCAATTAAAGTAACTGAATCAGAATATGTAAGTTACTAATTTACCTTCTATTTTTGTTTTAACTTTAATCTTTTCAGCATTTTTTATTATTGAAAACCCTAATTATTTTTTTTTTCAAATACTCTTCTATGCATTATTTCTACAGGTAATATAAATTATTAGTTATGTAACAATGTAAAATCAACAATCAATTAAAATTATTAAACAAAATTTCATTTTGTCATTTTTCAAATTATACTTTCCAATATCCCCAAATACTTCAATTTTTGCAGCATTTCTAAAATTCTAATACTATGAACTATAAATAATCAAGTGACTTAAGTTTATCATGATTCATTAATTTGATTGCATAATCATAAAATCTTGGACTCTTGAAATCAAATGTGAGTAAAAAATAAGTTACAGTCTTGAATTTCATACATGTATTTTTTATTTTTATTTTTCAAAAAAATCAACATTTATTCTAATGTTGCAGTGCTTACTTAATTGTGTAGTTGGAAACTTGGAAGGATTGGTTCAATTGGAGTCTTACACCCTTACTCATATATTGGTGGTTGGAGAATATTAGTGTAAAGTACTGCTGAATTAGAGGTACCACTTCTGAATTTTTCTCTTTATATAATTATACTATTAATTGATAATTGAAAATAATGAAAGATTGATAGTAATAATGTTATTATAATATTACACATGTTGTGTTTCAGTTTTTGCTTGACTATTAATTATATTTTTTTGTTTATAAATTAAAATTTTATTTGTTTAATTAAAAGTGATTTAAATTTTAGATTAAATCACTCGTGTGTTTGTTAGGGAAGTTTGATAAAAAGATTCTTTATATAACTCATTGTTAGATTAATTTTCAGGTCAATTGGTTACTTTGGAAGCGTAGGCCTAGGTATAGTGTTATACAATGGGCAAGCCACCAAAAACTATTGACATGTTCTTTAAAAGAAAAAACATCGATAAATCAAATGATGATGTACCTTCCTCTTCTAATCTTGATGCTTCAGTTCTTGAGAACCCACATCCTCCAAAATATCCTCGAGTTGAACATACACAGGTTAATTTTGCCATTTTAGAACGTGATCCGGGATTGCGTCGTCAAATATGGGAATATCCTATTGGCCAACAAGATGAAATTCGTCGAGCTTATATCAATGCGAAACCATATCAAATTATTCTTTCAGAGTATCCCCGTTCCGTCGGTTTCAATCATCTTGGTTCAAATTATTTCGTTCTTGGTTAGAGTATTCTCCTACAAAGGATGCTGCATTTTGTTTACCTTACTTTCTTTTTGGAAAGAAACCAACAGGGCATCCCGGAACCAATGCATTCACCCTTGAAGGATTTCGAAATTGGAAGAAAGTTAACGCTGGAAAGAATTGTGCTTTCTTAAATCATATTGGAGAAGGTCCTTGTTCACCTCACAACATTGCCGAGAGATCGTGCAAAGATTTAATGTATCAACCTTGTCATTTTGATAAAGTGATGGAAAAACAAACTTTAGAACAAATTTCAAATAACCGATTGAGACTAAAAACTTCAGTTGATGCGGTTCGGTGGCTTACATTTCAAGCTTGTGCTTTTAGAGGGCATGATGAATGCCCCGAATCAAGAAATAGGGGCAATTTTATTGAAATGGTAAAGATTTTGGCAACATATAATGATGATGTTGCTAAACTCGTTCTAGAAAATGCTCCAAAAAATGCCAAGTATACCTCACCACAAATTCAAAAGGAAATTTTGCATGTTCTTGCTAGAAAAGTGAGAAGTAAGATTCGTGAAGATATTGGAGATACCAAGTTTTGTATTCTTGTTGATGAAGCATGTGATGAATCTAAGAGAGAACAAATGGCTCTTGTTCTAAGATTTGTTGACAGAGATGGTTTTTTACAAAAGCGTTTCTTTGATATTATGCATGTTAAAGATACAACTTCATTGACTTTGAAAAATGCGCTTTCTACAGTTCTCTCTCATTATAATCTTAGTGTTCAGGATCTTCGAGGTCAAGGTTATGATGGTGCTAGCAATATGCGCGGAACATGGAATGGCTTGCAAGCATTATTTCTTAATAATTGCCCTTATGCATATTATGCGCATTGTTTAGCTCACTGACTACAACTAGCATTAGTTGCATCATCCAGAGAAGTTATCCCTGTCCATCAATTCTTTTCAAAGTTGAACTTCATTATCAATCTCATTGGACCTTCTTGCAAACGAAATGATGAATTACAATCTGCTTAAGCTGCTGAAATTGCCCATTTGATAGCTCTAGATGAAATTGAGACTGGTAGAGGAGCTAATCAGATTGGTTCCTTGCAACGACCTAGGGATACTCGTTGGAGCTCTCATTTTGATTCCGTTTGTAGCTTAATCAGGTTGTTTGGTCCTACATGTTCAGTACTTCGAAGCATCATTAAAGATGGATCCACTTGCTTCCAACGAGGGGATGCCGATTCTGCTTTTGATATTATTACATCATTTGAGTTTGTTTTTATTTTGCATTTGGTGAAAGATATTATGGGAGCAAGTAATATTCTTTGTGAAGCTTTGCAACAAAAATCTCAAGACATCCTAAATGCTATGCATTTGGTTTCGACTACTAAAAACATCATTCTAAAATTGAGAGAAGATGGATGGAACAACCTACTTGGGGTTGTTAAATCATTTTGTGAGCGTCATAACATAGATGTGCCTGATATGAGTGCTCCTTATACAAAAGGTAAGGGTCGACCACGTCACCCACAAGAAAATATTACACTTGAGCATCACTATCGGATTGATATATTCAATGGCACAATTGATTCACAATTGCAGGAGTTGAATAACAGATTTAGCAAAAAGGCAGTGGAACTAATTGTCCTAAGTTCTGCTTTGGATCCTAGAGATGGTTACTAGTTATTTAAAATTGATGACATTTGCAAGCTTGCAAATAATTGTTATCCTCAAGATTTCACAGACCAAGAGAGGATTATGTTGAGATTTTAATTGCAACATTATGAGATTGAAGTACCTCACCATCCATATTTCCAAAATATGACAAAAATTTCTGAACTATGTAGAGGATTAGTGGAAACAAAGAAATCAGATGTGTATTATTTGATTGATAGATTGATTCGTCTTGTCTTAACTCTTCCAGTTTCCACGGCAACTACAAAAAGGACATTTTCAACTATGAAAAATGTCAAAACCAAACTTCGCAATAAGATGGAGGATGAGTTTCTTGCAGATTACTTAAGTATCAATATTGAAAAAGAAATTGCTGGGACTTTTAGTTCAGATTCGATAATAGATGATTTTTGTTCTTTGAAACATCGTCGAGCTCAGCTTTTGTAGTAGATATTTGGTATGTTTGGTTTATTTTTGTTCATATCTATGTCATATTTGACTAGATATAGCAAATTTTTTTGTTTTTGTAAACAAATTGGCTAAAGTTTGACTAGATATATTTTTGTATGAACGTTATTTATAATAGAAAGTTTTTGGCTTAAAATAGTCGTAAATTAGATGGTAATATTGCTAATAGTTTCGGCCCCCCTTGCCATAGAATCCTAGCTCCGCCCCTGATTCTAAGCTCTTGATGGGAAACACAGTGGCACCAAGAGGAGATAGGTGATTGGTTAGATATAGTATATCTATAGCAAAATGTTATTGGACTCCAAAACATTTTCCATGATAGTTCATTTTCTGATTTGCAGCGACATTAATGTTGTCTTCAAATTGGATGTTACTCATCAATGACAATAGGTGGGTCCAAAGTTTCCCAAGTCAAATGAATTAATTTTCATGCAACCACTAAAAATTATTAAATGATTTTCGCTCATTTGATACAGATGAGGAAATTATTAAATGATTTTTGGTCATTTGATACAGATGGATCAGTTTAATTCGTATCGCTATTGAGACTTTTGTATAATACATTAATACATTTTTGCGAAGTCCTTTTTTTAATCGAAAAGTGAATGGAATTAACCCACCAGGTATGAATAGAACATGACCATCTAATAATTTCTCAAAGGACCACACCAAATTGCTAATGGCAGCCTTGTTCAATGATCAATAATTGAAGAAGTAATTGAGAAATTATTAGCCTCCTAAGAGGTCTCTCTCATTAGAAGAGTCGTGAACTCTATATTAATACACTCTTTCACCACTACATTTGGGACAGTTGTCTACTAGTTGAATCAGCTGGGTGCCACAACACTTTTCTGCAGCATAAATTTGTTGTGCCAGAAGAACACGTTTCTTCAACAAGGACGGCACCTCAAGGGCCATTGTTCAATTCCAGAAACGCTCGTGAGAGAGCTCCTCCACAAGCCCATCAAGCATGGACTTGGCTCTCAAATAAGTCACAAACGAAAATAAAATATTATAAAATCAAAATGAGTTATTTTTAAACTTGCAAAAGAAAAAAAGTGTTTGAAACGATTTACAAAACCAAATAACGAAATTTTGGATTAGGATGACACAAACTATAATCACCATATGAATTTTTAGAGATAGGATCACACAAACTATTTTCTATGATGCATTTTTATCAATAGTTCATCTTAATAATGCAAACAAGAACAAAACTACTAAGGGAAAGATGATAACTACAGATGATTTCTCCAAATATATATATATATATATATATATATATATATATATATATATATATATTGAGATAAAAAAAAAAAAAAAAAAAAAGTGTGTGACAGGTGCATCGTTGCATGTTAGCAACATGTTGCATGGCATGTAAAGAAGCGTGGATATCGGATGAATAACTTCGGCATGCTTCGCGCGTGTTGTGATTCATGGCCGTATTACTACATGTTATATTAGTTAGGTCGGCATCTATATTTGGGTATTCACTAATATACTTAAATGCAGATTTATCGGGTTGGGTTATGCACACATCGTTTTTTTAATTGAAGAGTCTGAATTGAATTAATTCACCAAGTGTGAATGAACCAAGATCATCTAATATTTCTCGAAGGACCATCTAATATTTCTCAGAGGACCGCGTACACCAAGTTGCTATTAATGGTAGCCTTGTTCATTAATCAATAATTGAAGAAGTAATTGAGGAATTATCAGCCGAATAATGATCATAAGAAGTCCCTCCTCTTATTAGAAGAGTCATGAACTCTCTTATTTTTATTTTTTATTTATAATTTAGATGCATTAAATAATTGATTTGATTTTTTATACATTTCAAAAAATTGTTTCATCCAATGATTAAATAAGGAGAATTCATGACTCTTCTCGTAAAAGAGAGGCTTCCAAGAGGAGATCATGTGCCTTGATTTTGCGCCACACGTAAATTTTTAATGCAACGCATCACATCCTAGTATAACTGGGCAAACCAATAGAGCGAAAAAGTGGGGCAAATTCACATGCTTTGGCCCACTTAAGTATCCAATAAATATTGGTAAAGATCCATTATATTAGTAATAAGATAAATTACACTAACATCCTTTGAGATTTGGACAAATTACATATGAATATAGCATTTGGCCTTTATTATTTTTACCAATTCTAAAAATGTGAAATGTCTTTCATACTCTTATCTAATTTAATAATAGTTTAATATAAAAAAAAAAAATATTGATACTATTAGTTTTGGCCCCCCATATGTATAAAAAAAATTATTATTCATGCATAAGCGATACCAAATTATTGTGATATTGATCACGACATAAGGTGAAATGGCACATTCTGAAACTCAAATCCCTTAGATAACCCAATATGAGGAGGACAACTGAATGGCTAAACTAACCATGACCCATCAGCAGACATGAATAAATTTTTATCTTGTTGTTCTACACTTTCTGCCTCATAATTGGATTTGGAAAAAATTGTAAAGTAAGGACGAAAATTTCAAAGGGTACATGGTATATTACAAATTGAAAGCCTAGCTTGATTTCAAAAGTAGAACTTGTAAAAGGTCATGATTATCAAGACCAGTTCTAACTATTCAAGCTTTCGTGAAAAAAAAGTATAAATATAAATTTATCATATTATATTATTTTGTACAAATTAATTGTTTTAAAATTTAATTTTTAAATTTTATGCTAAGAAAATTATTTATAATTTTTATAATATTTTATTTCCTATTAGCTCATATTCTATATAAATTCGATATGATTATTGTTAAAGAAATAAATAATAAATCCAGTTCATATCTAAATATTATAATTGTATATATAACAACTTCTCAATCGAGACAGCTATTTGGAATGGGAATACATAAATTCTGAGAGATATGGATTAAAATAATTTGGGCATGAAGAGAGGTCCACAATTTCTTGACGAAGCCAAACATTGCTTTATGAGGTTTATGCACAATTGAATGTGCATATCTTGCAATGAAGAGGAAATACTTAAATGTGCTATCACAAATGTTCAACTACGAACACATTGATCATCAGGGAACTCCTTAGACATGTTTTAAATTAAATGAAGGATTAAGTGTAAAAAAAAAATTCCTACAATATACAAAATATGCAAGAAACATCCCTGTTAAAATAAATAAATAAATAATGTATATAACTCCTTCTATTATTCATCATTTGAGCAATTTGACCCCTATTAAATAAATTTGTTGAAAAAGAGCAGTTGGTGATCTCATCTATTTCTAAAAATCCAAAAGTACCATTTTTATGTGACAAGAATGCCCCTACCAATTTTGTATACATTTAAACATTAAATGGGTCTGTTTGGGTATGTTTCAAGACTTGTCCAAGTAAAACACTTTCTCTCTCTTAATTTTTTTTTTCTCTTAAGTATTTATTTTTTTATTATTTATTATTATTTTTTTTTGTGATTGCCGATATTATCTCTCTCTAAATTTTTTTTTTTCTCTCCACAATATCTCTTTGTTCAAAATTTATTTTCTCTCTCTATAATATCTCTTTGTGGCCATCTCTCTATCTAAATTTTTTCTCTCTCTAAAATATTTTTTTATGGCTGCCCATTTATATCTCTCTATATTTTTTATCTCTCTCTCTCTAAATTTTTTTTTTCTCTCTATAATATCTCTTTGGCTAAAGTTTGACTAGATATATTTTTGTATGAACGTTATGTATAATAGAAAGTTTTTGGCTTAAAATAGTCGTAAATTAGATGGTAATATTGCTAATAGTTTCGGCCCCCCTTGCCATAGAATCCTAGCTCCGCCCCTGATTCTAAGCTCTTGATGGGAAACACAGTGGCACCAAAAGGAGATAGGTGATTGGTTAGATATAGTATATCTATAGCAAAATGTTATTGGACTCCAAAACATTTTCCATGATAGTTCATTTTCTGATTTGCAGCGACATTAATGTTGTCTTCAAATTGGATGTTACTTATCAATGACAATAGGTGGGTCCAAAGTTTCCCAAGTCAAATGAATTAATTTTCATGCAACCACTAAAAATTATTAAATGATTTTCGCTCATTTGATACAGATGAGGAAATTATTAAATGATTTTTGGTCATTTGATACAGATGGATCAGTTTAATTCGTATCGCTATTGAGACTTTTGTATAATACATTAATACATTTTTGCGAAGTCCTTTTTTTAATCGAAAAGTGAATGGAATTAACCCACCAGGTATGAATAGAACATGACCATCTAATAATTTCTCAAAGGACCACACCAAATTGCTAATGGCAGCCTTGTTCAATGATCAATAATTGAAGAAGTAATTGAGAAATTATTAGCCTCCTAAGAGGTCTCTCTCATTAGAAGAGTCGTGAACTCTATATTAATACACTCTTTCACCACTACATTTGGGACAGTTGTCTACTAGTTGAATCAGCTGGGTGCCACAACACTTTTCTGCAGCATAAATCTGTTGTGCCAGAAGAACACGTTTCTTCAACAAGGACGGCACCTCAAGGGCCATTGTTCAATTCCAGAAATGCTCGT